CAAAAGCATAAATTCTTCTACGGTCTTCCTTATTCACTGTCCAGCTTTTGCATTCATACGAGGTTACTGAAAATACCATGGCTTGGGTCAGGCACACCTTAGGCCTCAAGCTGACATCTTTGCTCTTCAACACTTTAAAAAGGTCTTGTGCAGCAGATTTGCCTAATGCAATACGTCGTTTGATTTCTTGACTGCTGCTTCTGTGAGTGTTGATAGTTGATCCAAGAAGAATGAAGTCCTTGACAACTTCAATCTTTTCTCTTTTGATAAGAATGTTGTTTATTGGTCCAGTGGTGAGGATTTTTGTTTTCTTTACATTGAGATGTAATCCATACCAAAGGCTGTGCTCTTTGATCTTCATCAGTAAATGTTTTAAGTCCTCTTCACTTTTAGCAAGCAAGGTTGTATCATCTGCATATCACAGGTTGTTAATGAGTCTTCTTCCAATCCTGATGCCATGTTTTTCTCCATAGAACCCAGCTTCTAGGATGATTTGCTCAGCATACAGGTTGAATAAATATGGTGAAAGAATACAACCTTATCACACACCTTTCTTAATTTTAAACCATTCAGAGTTCCCAAGTTCTGTTTGAACAGCTGCCTCTTGGTCCAGGAACTGATTCCTCATGAGCACAATTAAGTGTTCTGGAATACTCGTATTTTGCAAGGTCGTCCATAGTTTGTCATGATCCACACAATCGAAAGTGTTTGCATAGTCAATAAAGCACAGTTAAACATCTTTCTGGTATTCTCTGCTTTTAGCCAAGATCCATCAGACATCAGCAATTATATCTCTTGTTCCACATCCTCTTCTGAATCTGGCTTGAACCGCTGAAAGTTCTCTGTCAATGTATGCTTGCAGCCATTTATTTGTTCCTTATTCAATATGTTTTGCCTAGATTTAAATAATTTAGTCACATTTATTGTGCAGACTGCAAAGACCACGTGAATGTTATGTCTGAGTTCTGCTGACTTCACAAGGGGAAAGAGAATTGAGATCAAAATCAGCCCAAGGCCGATTCTATGAAGTAAAAGTCAGACATGCCTCCACCCTACAACCTTCTTTACACTATTTTCACACCAACCATCTCTCCTTCATATCTGGGTTCCACAATCCATTGCAATGGCCACACAGAACTCATTACAATTATGGGGTTTACTAGGGAAATGAACAGAGTATAATATAGGAACAGAAAAACTCAGGACACAGCAGTTCTCTAAGCAGGAACACCTCTTAGCTGCCATACTGCAGGCATGCTTCACTTTTGTCTTTGGCCTCTCAGTCACGTGGTCCTGCAGCCTCTGTCCTGCTCAGGCAAGTGTTACCAAGCTCCTTTAGTCAGTCTGCAAATGCCCAAATGTCAGTTCTGTAAACCAGTCTCCTACCAGTAGGCACTCAGCTTTACTCGGTCCATGGGCCTAGACACCTATAGCTACTCCATGTCATTGCCTCTGCCACAACCGCTGCTGTTGCCACTTTTCTAAGTAGGGATCTGACACTCCACTGATGCTTTCTGTTCTTGATGGTCCTGGGATCGTTTATTCCTGCTTCTAACATGGCTCCTTCTTAACCTAGCTGGATGGTAAAATTAACCAATTCCAGCTTTACAGTCCTGTACACCTTATTTGTATGGTCCCATTGTATAATTTGATGAACTTGACCTATACTTAAGGATGTACTAGATCAAAATACCTACTTAGAGTGAAGGCGTCTTCACACCAAGTATCAAGCCTATCACCTCTGTATATAAGGTTGACAGGGATTGGCAACTTAGACACTGGCTATCTAGAATAGCAGGGGGCGGGGGGGGGGGGGAGAGTTATTAAAGGCATGAAGTGACTGGCTTACAAGTTTTCAAAAGGGAGTTTAGTTTCAAAGTGTGCAGGGGAAATTACACTCCCCACTGAATAATTTTCATCCTGTCTAGACGGGTCTGGTGAAAAGCGATGGGGATATGATTCTTATGATCAATAGTAATTGTTATCATGAATAATTACAACTGTCACAACTTTAAAAGTAAAAGTTTTATAACAAAAAGGGGGAGTAGTTAACCTTACAGTCCAGCAATGGAGGACCCTAGGACCATCAAGGGAGAAGAACATGAGCAGAATGTGGGACCCTATCCAGAGAAGCAGCAACATCAGAGATAGAGGCAGAGATGAGGACATGGAGAAATAGAGCAGCTGAGAACTCTAGACTCATGGAAAGAGAAAGGCTGTGTGCTGGCAGCCAGAAGGCAGGCTTGCAGAATGTGCCCTTTGGTTGTTTAAATGATTATACATTCCTGAGTTTTTTTGCATACATCACCTCCCCTCTTTCCCCCCCCCCCCCAAAAAAAAAAACCCAGAGGGAATAGAAGCAAGTATTGTTGAAGGATGATGCACGGAGGAGACTGTAATTATTGTAATGAACCGATGAGTGTAAAACCCATGTTCTCCCATGTAAACTATCACTCAATTCACAATGAAAACTTTTTAAAAAGTGAAGATATTGTATAGAAAAACCGTATCAAGTAAATTCAAGCTACCACAATATATATTTCAATCTAATTTGGTACTTGCTACTTTCTCTTCTTTTTAAAAAGTTATCAATCCTTCTCTTTTGGATTTACAGAGTTTAAAAATTCCCACTTTTGTTCCCTCACTGACTTGGATGTTACATCTTTAATATCTACTCTTTAGAGATTACTTGGAAATTTTTAATTTATATACTCAAACACCTTAATGCTAATAAGTATTCATAAACTCCCATTGTTCTGTTATTAATGTCTAATGTTTGACTCTATTTTTTTCTAACTACTGATTTTCTTTCCTGACATCTCAGAAGTTCCTTTTGAACTTTTCCATTCATTCTGAAAGCCATCCTTTATAAGTTCTTGTGAGATGTGCTGGTGGTACACTTCCTCAGTACATATCTTCATTTTATCCTTATTACTTTTTAAAATGTCAAAACTAAACCAGTTGCTTTTGAGTTGATTCTAACTCCTGAGGACCCCAGCCATGTGTTGTATCACAGCAGAACTCTGTGGTGTTAGGTTTTCAATAACTGATGTTTTAAAAGTAGAATACCCAAGCCTTTCTTCATGAAAAACAGGCAACTTTTCAGTATGCAGGCAAGAATGCTAACCATTTTCACCACCCAGAAACCTGAAAATATCAGCTAAGCATACAATTCTAATAGACAGTTATTGTATTTCAGTACTGTGATGATAGAATCCCAATGACTGTTATTAAGTGCCATGGAGTCGGTTTTGACTCATAGTGACCCTATATAGGGTTTCCAAGGCTGTAAATCTTTGTGGGTTAGTAAGCCTCATCTTTCTCCCATGGGGTGGCTGATAGGCTCGAACTACTGATCTTGTGGTTCACAGTCCAGTGCTGATCTTATGGAGTCGCCACTCTTTTTTCTTTATTGAACATAAAGAACTGTACTGGCAGTCTACTTGTCTATTCTTTTAGGAGTCTTTCATTTCTGTCTCTTAAAATTTTCTTTAGTGTTTAATTTCACCATGATGTGTCTAGATATGGATTTACTTTTTATCCATTTTATCCAAACGATATTCCAACATTTTCTTAAATCTGGACACTTCTCAGTAAGTCCCCAATTTCACAGAAGGTTGGGGTTAATTGCAATGATCTCAGTACTCTTTGGAAACATTAATCAGGCACATGTTCAGGCATCTCCAATCCACATCTCTCCATCCTTCTTTCATATTTTCCAGTTGCTCTTTGTATTCTATATTCCACATCATTATTTTTACATTTATATTTCAGTTCACCAATTTTGTGTCTAATAGCTGATCCAATTCTTAAACTTTAATATTTTCATTTTTAAACATTGTTTTGGACCTTTTTCAAATCATAATCATCTTTACTAATAGTATCTGATTACTTTCTCATGGTTAAATTCTATTATTTTATATAGCTAACATAATGACTTCATATTGCTTATATGAAGGAACTTCATAAAGGTTGTGGAAAAATGGAATTAAGAGATAACAGAAGTTTTCCACAAACTTTTTGAAGCCCCCTCATAGGGGTCCTGGTGTGACACTATAGGATAAGCAATGGACTGCTAAACACAAGGTTGGTGGCTCAAACCCACCAGCCACTTCTTAGAAACTCTATACATGGTTGCTATGAGTTAAAACCAACTCAACAGCATTTCACAACAACATAAACCCACTGGATTATAAGGCACTCAATTCTACTCTTCATGGTGTTTCCTGATTCCCACTCATAGCAGTTTCTTTGTTCTTGAATTCTGCAAACTGAATTGTAAACTCATGTTTGGTGACATTTTATCAATGAACATATTGTGAGGCCTGGGGTGGAGCTCCCGTTAGAATTTCATGTAATTTTACAATAAGCTACTGGTACTGCCAGTCTTTGACCACTTTAATTTAATTTCAAGGACCACCCAGGTAATGTAAATTTGAAATTCAAATATGTGTGAGTAATTCTGAAGGAAGTATTGTTTTTCTACCTACAGTATCAATTGGAAGATCTGCCCACATGTTTCATTTCTTAAGGATTGTTAATCTATTTAGACCTCCAGATGTGTGCAGAGCTTTGGGTTCCATGTATCCCCTTCCAGAGATTCAAGGTCTTGTTGATTATCATTGTGTGATCATTTAAGGATGTGACTAGAGGTTATTCTGGAAGGTCAGCAAACGCCTTTGGGTCAGTCAGTTTTCTTATTAACCAAGAAAAACTATTTTTAAGCAGTCTGATATTTTCTTCCAAAGAATGGGAAATAATAAAGTATCGTTTGTATTATTAGAAAAATAAAAATGCACATGATCAGTTATTCACAGGGAAACAGAAATCATTATCTTAATACTTTAGGCTTCAGATTGATTATATCATATTCATTGATGCCTCCATTTTAAATTTCTAGGACATATTTTAACTTAATTCTTGTCTAACATCTCCCTAAAGAGCATAATTTAAGCAATAAACAAATTGCAGCTTTCACAGGGGAATCATGTGGAAATCACCATTCATTCCGGTCAGCATCACAGTTGCAGTAATATTGAGAATCAATGCAGTTGCCCTCTAATCCACAAGTACACTTTTGAGCATCACGCAGAGAACCTCCCCAATAACTGTATGTTTCATTGGTTCTTCCAACCCACCAGCTCAGTGGGGTTCCATCTGAAAGAAAAGTATGAGAAAGGTGACACCTACTTTGCTCACTACCTGCATCCCTAATATAGTTCCTTTATTTCCTTCTCTTTAAAAAATGAACCATTATTTTAGAAGTGATCATATTTTAACTCTGAAATATAATTTTTAAAGGACTGAAAACTTTTACTATTTTAGTGTCAAGGCTTAAGTTGTTGCCATATATATATATGTATATATATTATTAGAAAATAAACACATTGTGAGATAATAAACACATAGCGAGATAGGCATGATATTTACACTTTTCTCCTGAACAATCCAAGTTAAGTGATTTGTTTTTGTTTTGAAATAAATTTAATATGAATTGGTATCAAAACAAAAGACAATTAATGCACTGAACCTAAAATCTCTGATATCATAAGATGCTTGCTGGAAGAATACATTATTTGGCAAATATATGAATCTCATTTTTTTTTATTAGTTCAAACACTGGTACTTTCTATTATATCTTAACCATTGAGTGGCTTTTCTTAGGTTGAGTGGCTCTGGCTCTTAGTTTGGAAACTAAAAAAATGCCTCTGATGAGCCTTCTTCATGCTTGAGGTGAACTCTAAGCTCAACTCAGTTCTTTGCTCCATCTCCTCTTCGATCCAACCAAAAGGCCAACCTCATCCTATAGAACATACATTTATGCTAAAAAGACAGACAGGACACCCATGTAGGAATTACAGCACACTAGGGTGAGAATGATGAAACAGTGGGGTGGCATGCAGACAACATGTCTTTCAAAGGGGGCAGAATCAGGGCAGGGAGGGAAATGAAAGTGACAGTGACTTCTAGTCAACTGGCTGTGCAGAGATGCTTGTCCATTTTAGTGCGCTCTCCCACCCCTCAGGATGTCACCATCAGGTTCTCACTGAGAATCTGGTATCCATCCTGGTTTTGGACTATGAGTTCATCTTGCTCTCCAATCTACTGGGTGACTTTATTTTTTGACTCTGTTAGTGATTGACTCCTAAACTATCTGCCTTTTTCCTAGTCTTCCTTGGCTAAACCCAATTTGAGTTGTCTCACAGCACTGATTATTCTCCTGGACTTATCCTCATTCTTTTAGGAACATATAATTTTAGCTCAGTGTTCCATTTGACAACAATCAACTAACAATAAGCACTCACAATAATTATTATTTATAATTATTGCTCTAACAATAATTCTAAATTCAATAAACTGGAGAACTGAAAAATAGTATTCATTTATGCAACTTTTATATGTTATGCAACTAAGTTTTGGTAAGACTCTGAAAGCTTAAGCAATTCTCCCAATTTCCATGGTTGCTGAATGACAGGTTTGGATCTTGAACTCCAAAGAACCTGCCTAACACTTTCTGCCTTCTCTATTCCCTGAGATCCCTGATCAATTTTCAGAAAATGGGCAGACAGACCGCTAGAAAACCAAAGGGCAGAAAAGTTTGACATGCCAACAAAATATTTCAAAGTGAGAAAATACAAAATCAAAAATAGAATTTGCAAGAGCAGACTGAAAAAAAAAAAAATCAACTACTAACTGTGGCACTTTGGGTTAATGCACTGGACTACAAAGTCGGTTTGAACCACAAGGTTGGTGGTTCAAGTTCACCAGCCGCTCCCTGGAACCCCTTTACAGGGTCACTGTGGGTTGGAACTGACTCAATGGCACAACAAAAACAACTAAGTTGGGAGTTCCTGAGCAGTGCACACTTAGCTACTAACCAAAAGACGGATGGTTTATCTACCTGTGAGAATACTGACAACTGGTCTTAACACAGTGAGATGACTGATATCCTGAAAAAATAAATGATAACAACAACTACAACCCAAAACAAACCAGTGTCAACCAGCCAATTCTAGTTCTTGGTGATTCCATGTACACCAGAATAGAATTGTGCTCCACAGACATTTCAATGACTGATTTTTCAGAAGTACATTACCAGGCCTTTACTTATTCTTAGACATCTCTAGGTGGACTCAAATCTCCATTCTTTCTGTTAACAGCACAGTGCTTAACTGTTTGCACCACTTTTTACCCAATGATACCAACTTTGTTCTCTAATTAACAATTACCTCAGACATTCAGATTCACACCCAAGAATCTCAGGAAATTATCAGAGAACTAAGTCATGTTGCTGTTGGCAAACGTCCTCAAGAGAAAACAAAGTGTCAGGGCACTTCACTGTGGATGAACACTGCACTCTCCTGGTCAGTTCAGTTGTCTAAATCATCTGGGAAAAGACTTTAGTGCATTCATTACTTGGATCAAACAACAGCTTATACTGAACATACTCTTTGCTCCATGGAAAAGCATCTCTGTAATTCCCAGATCGTGACCTAGGAGCCATGAAAAGCAGGAGTCAAACAACTTTGGTAAAGGCTGTAATCTCAAGGGAAGTAAAATCTCTGTGCTCATTGACATAGGAATTTACCCGACTCTGTGGTGGTGGGAATTAAAGTCTGCTCATTACTTACCATGGGCAGATGAAAGCCTTGATTTCTTGCAATGGAACGTCAGCTCCTGTTGGCATTGGTCTGCGTGGTTAATTATGGCCTGGAGTTGGTCCATGCTGACCGAGTAGTTGAAAAGCACAGGATGAAAACTTTCTCCATCAGAGCTTTTCATTGTGGTCAAATGGAAACCATTGTGCTCTATTGAGGTCCAGGTGGTGTCTCGGGGGAAGAAAGGTAGGGGAGAAAGACTGTGACTTGGCTGAAATAATTAAAATAAATATAAAAAACAGAAGCACATTTAATCTGAAATGTAGCGGGGGTGGGGGGTGGGGGAGTAGTTGTTTTTGTTAAGTGCAGTCGAGTCGGTTCTAACTCATAGCATCCCTGGAAAGGGTTTCCGAGGAGCGGCTGGTGAGTTTGAAGGGAAGGGTATTAATCAGATCTCTTTGAGACTGGAATCAGCCAAAGTAGGATTCTTAAAAATGGTAATATCAGAAATTCTCTTCATTGATAGTTGTATTACCACGTACCTATATTGTTGTTGTTGTGTTGTCAGGTGCCATCAAGTCAGAACCGACTCATAGCGACCCCATGCACAGCAGAACGAAACAATGTTCGATCCTGGGCCAACCTCACTACCGCTGCCACACTTGAGTCCATCAATATAAGAACATACAATATGAGCATACATCTATG